CCTCCCTACCACATGATGAGTGAAAGGATTTGCTGAGCCAATGGGTAAATTTCCTGTGGAAATCCAAGGTTCCAAGCCAGTGTCCCCCAACTCTGGCTTCCCTCAACAGCTTCAGAGCCTTAGATCTGGGCCCCTGACCTGGTTGCTGGCTGATCCTATAGAAAAGAACATTTCAAAGAAAAGTGACTTTCCTCCCCACTGCTTACCTTTCTGTGTCCTGGAAAAGGAGCCCCAGACACAAAGACATCAGGGAGCATACAAAGAAAATGCCTGAAGGAACATCACTGTAGGGGAGCAGTGGGGCAGGAGCCTGGGATCTAGGCCCAAGTCTGCAGCAAGCAAACTGTGTGGCCTTGGACAAGTCACTTAACCTCTGTGCCTCTCCTTTCATCTCCAAGATAGAGAGACAATATAGTAGGGGCAGGGCAGTTAGCTTCTGATTTTGGATGGCTTGATTTCAAATCCTAGTTCAACCACTTACCTGCAACAAACACTTTGATTTTTGACTAGGGTCTGGTTACACAAATGGCGCAGGCTGCAGTATTCTCATCGGTGAAATGAATTAAAACAGTATCTACTTATGAGTTTTGCGGGAGGCTTAATGTAGCTATTCTACATACATTTTAGGACAGTGCCAGGCATCCAAGAAGTGATTGTTATTGTAATGTTTCCTTTTTTAAATGATAAAGAGCTGCTCTCCAGGCTTCCTAAGTGTTTTGGTGGTGATGCCCTGACCTCATGAATAAGAAGAAAGCTGGGAGGAATTCTGCAGCTACCTGGTCTTTTTTGTTTTCAAATCTGACTGGAAACTCTTTCCCTCTTCAGTGGTGCCAGCCACCCAGCCACCTGCCCCAGCTGACTGCTTTCCATAACAAAAGGTAAGGCCATATTGGCCCATGGGTCTCTACCCAGAAACCAGCAAATCCCTGGAAACCACCAGCTCTTCTTCTCATTAACAACCTTTTGGTTTCAGCTACTAGAGCACCTAAAGAAAACAAGACCCAGTCAGACCCTAAAGATTTAGGCTCTTTCCAAATTCTAGGAATCTCAGAGAGGAAGGGAAAGCAGCCCTTTCGGAATTTCCTCCAAAATTTAGTGACATTCCTTGTGGCCAAAGCTTGGCCCGGTTTGCCCTAGGAGGAACTTGTAAGCACTGTTGGGGGATCGGGGATGAGTTGGGATACAAAAGCACACAGTTTTCGGGGAGGGAAGGAGGGAGGGGGCAAGGGAAAGTGGTGGGGGGTAGGCAGAGACAAATGTATTTTAAAAAAATAAATTAAAATTAAAAATAAATTAATTAATTAATTTTAAAAAAAGCACACAGTTTTCAAAGCCTTTTTCCATTAAGTTCAAGAATAGGATGAAAGGATCTCAAAGAATTAAAAAGAAAAGCTGAAAACTGCTTATTAGTTTTTCAAATTCTCCTTTGTCCCTGTCTCATTCTGAATGAGATCCTAGAAGGCCAGAAGACAGGTGCTATAAGTTACAAATATGCCTAACTGGCCTCAGCCTGGGCTGCAACTTGACTTCAGGCCCTAGTCCTCAGGGACACCCCAGAGAAAGAAGAGTGCTGAACTATATGCCAAGGATCCACATCTTTTCCTCCACACTGTTCCACACAACAGCAAAGTGAAATTTAGCTCAGGTCTGTAATTTCTGACCTGGTTCCCAGTTGGAAGGCGAGTGCAGACTTTGACCTGATAATATCACAGAGACCGGCGGCTTAGTCCCTTTCCCTTTAATCCCATGCCCAGCAGGAGGCAGTTCCCTATGAAGATTTGCCCTTTGCACAACTTCTTCAGTCCTGGGAGTGTGGTCTGAGCCACCCTGCTGCCCTTTGCAGTTAGTTGTTAAGACCAGAAGCAGGTTCTTCTCATTGTCTTTGTTCTCATAAATACCAGTGTTCTGGCATTTAATATCCAGAGACTTCCATATATAGGTTAATCATGTTCTTTAAATGTGTCTCCCCTATGCCTGTACCCTTCCCCACCCACTTCAGCCCCCAAATAACCACCATGGTAGTTTACTACTGTTTAATCAAAATTATCGCCAGCCTAGATCTCTATTAATAGAAATAATCAGATGCCAGGAAGGAAACTACCTTAAGAAATTTATCAGTAACGAAAATATTGAATGAGTCTACCTCCAGTATAACTGGGCCAACCTGCAGATACCGATTCTGAGAAATACTTGTTATGGGTTGCACCTGTTCAATTGATTCTCTTTAGGAGAAAAGGTATCTCATGGGACAATCTGTCCTATATACACCCAGAGGTCTAACTCATTCAGGGCTCAACACTAGCCCTTAGACCTAGGACTTTTTTGGGGGGTGGGGGGTGAGGGAGCTTTCTTTCCTCACTGGCAAACTGTAGGTGTTGGTTTAGATCTGTGGTTCTCAACCAGGGCTCATTTTGTCCCCCAGGGGACATCTGGCAATGTTTGGAGATGCTTTTCGTTGTCACACATGGCTAGAGCCAAGGGGAGAGGGATGCTGTTAAATATCCTATCATGCAAAGGGCCACCCCTACAACAAAATTATCTATCTCCAAATATCAATAGTGCCGATGCAGAGAAACTCTAGTCCAAAAACCTCATCTCTCAGGTTTCTTTCATACAAGGCCATGCTTAAGTTTTCTAGCTGTTTTCTTGGAATCGATGGGCTGCCTGTGGCTCCCTTGAGGATCGAGGGCTCCACCTGAGGAGTGTTGCCAGTGGTAAAACCTTTCCAACACATCCTTCTACAACAGACATCATCTGGAGCACAGAATCTCACTTCAAGTGACAGAAAACATTACTCGGTAATAAAATGCTCATAGGCCTAGAGACCCTCCCCAAAGAGTAACTGCTTCATTCCAGCCCTTTCAGATGCAGGTGAGTGGGACACGAAAAATCAATCACTCTCCCTCTCAACACAAATTCCCTATAGTGGCTTTGGTGCCATGCCACTCACATGTCTATTCTTTTAGGAGAAAGTAACTGAAGACAGAAAAACAATGCTGAAAAATGGCCAGAAGTCATCTCAATTTGGGTTTATTTCATGATTCTCAGCACACAGTGTACTTCCTTGGGGGAAATTTTTTGTCCTCAGTTCACATTATAAATTATTTTACAAATATAGAACTGTTAGAAATATTTATAAAAGTTCCTGGTTTTTCACATGGAATAATGTCCACTGAAACTGGATTTTTATACACATAGTATAGGAGTAGGTAGTCTCTTTGGCTGTCTTTCTATAGGCACATCTTAGAGATATTGCAGGTCCAGTGCTAGGCCATCCCCTTAAAGCAAATATCACAACAAAGCAAGCCGTCATCTTTTTTCCTGATGGAGGGTTTTGCCTGCAATTTGTAAAAATAGGCAATGTTTGTGAAGTGCAATAAAACAGGTAGGCTTGTTTGTTCATATTTAAATAATAATGGTGATGTTACTTATACCTCAACAAACTTAAAAAAAATAATTTTCTGTATTTCAAAATAAAAATTTAAGAGTAATGCTGTTTCAAAAAAGAATACATAGAAAGTATTTTTTTTACAATGTACTTGCGTGTTTTTTCAAAAATTAAAACCCCAAACCAATAATACGGTACAAAGGCAATTCATAGGACATTATCTTCATCTTAGTGTAACATTGTTCCAATAAAATCAACTAACACTTTGTGGATGAGTTGAAGCAGTGACTGAGTGTCTGCCTTGTACCCAGCACTCTGCTGGGTACTGGGAGGGTGGCCATAACAATTACCAGATGAAAATACCTCTTAAGACGTAAAAGGGAGTGCTAAAAATAAATTATATTTTTTAAAAATTTACCACAAAACTTTTTAAAAATTATAAAAATTCCATTTAAAAACTGCTTTTAATAAAAATTCAAATGCTTTGTTTACCAAAAAAAAAAAAAAAAATTTCCAGGACACATGCTAAGAGAGATAGGACATCAAGTTAACTAGGACAATTGTCATCCAGGCCTCAGGAATACAGCCGTAGCCAGGCAAGGCACGGGTGGTGTCCTCTTTGTTGGTCAGCGGAACATCTCAGAGAATAGTTCAACCAGAATCTTTGGTCAAATGTGATCATTCCTACCCTCTCTATGCTATGCCTTCCTTTGCTTTTTAGGAACTAGAACACAAAGTCACAAGCTCCAGCCCTGAAGCCAGACTGTCTGGACCTCATCTGGGCTCCAAGGCTTCCTATCTGTATCGCCTTGAGTAAGTTACCTGACATCTTGGAGTTTCACAGCTTCATATGAAAACAAGAGCTTGTAATAATACCTATCTCCCAAAGTTGCTGTGAGGATCAAATAAGCCAAGTATCTAGAACAGTGCCTGGCACATGGGGCTTGCTTGGGTAGTTTTATTGGTGTTATTATCTACCATGTTTCAGACACTGAACATAAGCAGAAGTGATTCATGAGCTGGATATAGCCCAAGGATTTGTGGGGTTTCCTAATATAGTATTTTTAAAACTTTAATTAGTGGCCAAGAATTCAAATGGAGATTTGCTATAAAATTACGGATCTGACTTTTCTAGGGAAATCAGAACGCTGCCAGGCAGGAAGGAAACAACTAGCTGCCACAGCAGCCTTCAGCTGGTTAGTCCCAACCACTCCTTACTGCTTCAATGGCCAATTGCTACCTTTTCCCTACTCAGTAACTTCATTCACTTGCCTTTTCAGCCAGCCCATGTACACATTTTAGCTTGTAACCCTGATATACATTGATGAACAAAACAGATATGGTCCCTGTACTTAAAGAGCTCTAGGTACTACCCTAGAACAGAGTGGGGTGTATTTCTCTCCAGGAAGGCTCTTATCCAGAGAAACCTGTAAAATCTTGCTGGATTGTAGAGTTATCCACTAAACCCAGGCTACTCCCAAGTGTGGTCAATGGGCCAGGAGATCACCCAGAAGCTCCAGAGAAATGTAGAACCTACCCAGACCTACTGCTTTGGAATCTGTATTTTAACAAGATCTCAGGTGCGCATGTTCAACTCTTAAGAAGTTGTGCTCTATACCTCAGAGCCCTCCCGGGGGTAGATGAGGCTGTTGACCATGCTGAAGTTGTAGAAAGGGGGGCTGAAGGGACTGTTCTGCCCCCCACCGGTGCTGGCAGGGAAAGGGCTGTAATAGGAAGATCTTTGGCTGCTGCCGTTGCTGGCGCTGTTATTCAGTTGCAAGGTGTCTGATGAGGCTTCTGGGATGGTGCTGGCGGGGAATGTGCTGCTGGAAGGCAGGTGGGCCCCCTGGATCCCTAGGTGGTGGCTGCCAGTGACACCTCGCTGGGTACTCCCACTGCTGCTTACACTTAAGGTGCTGAGGCTGCTGAAGAAGGTGTTGAGGCAAGGGGTGGAGGTGAGCACTGGCCCTCCTGGGGAAGAGACAGTACTCTTGGTACTCTCTGGAGGCTCTGGGGACTGGGAAGGCCTTAGCAAAGCTGAGGAGCTATCTCCTTCTGGCTTCCCACCCACTCCAGACCCCAATCCCGAGGAGAGACCCTCTTCTGATTTTGATGTCCCCACAGCCACCGTGGAGCTGCTGCTGGCCTCAGAGCGGCGTTTACGCTTTCGGCGGAAGTTCCCATTGTCAAACATTTTCTCACAGTTTGGATCCAGGGTCCAGTAATTACCTTTCCCTACAGTGATGAGAAAGACAGCTGTTAGAGAAGGAAATATTTATGTCCACTCATTCAGCTTCTATTTTTGGAGGAAGAGGGCAAACTTTCAATTAAATGCCGACAAAGATGCTCAGTCATTGTGTTGTTTAAAGTTATCCTTATTTTATTTATCTTTAAGGAGAAATCTGGAGCAAAGATGTTCTGGCCACTTTTACCTCCTCCTGGCAGTTTCTGCTACTTAAATTTTAAGACCTAATTCTATTCACAAGTCATTTACAATTACCCAACATCTTCCCTTCTAGATCCAAATGGAGTACTTTTGTAAGGTCCTGGCACTACTTAAATTTGACCTCCATTTCTTTATTTATAAAAATAGGGATAAAAATGGTCGCCACCTCATAGACTGGTGTGAGGGTGAAATAATATCTTTGCATAGTAGCTGGCATACAGGAAGCAATGCAAAAACAGTATGTGCTATCATTGTATCCCCCTCATCCTAGGCAGGAGACGTTCCTGTATGTCTTCCAAGTTTTCCCTCCACTGGGCGAATATCAGTGATCAGAGCCCCCCGTTTAATGCACGTAATGCTAGTGTCCTGCTTAGGAAGTTTCACTCACAATTTAGCTAGCACCGTTGAGGTAAAAAAGATCTACCCCCCAGGATTTAATGTGCCAACAGCTCTTTTCACTTTGGTAAAAACAACTGAAGGCAGTTCAAAGTACTGTTAAACACTTACCTTACAGTGAATACTTTACATGAATAACCTGGGTTATTCCTCACAGCTCTCTGGAGTTGGGTAATATTATCACCTCCATTTCTCACATGGGGAAACTGAGGTTCAGACTGGTTAGTTAACTGCTGTATTCCCAGTTCACAAAAGTAGAGCCAGGAATGCTCTTCAACTAATCATTCTTATGCTGCCTGCAAAAACTAGCATGCACTCCCTACACCCATTTTTTCCACTGACACATCTGCAAATAGTTGCAGAAAAAAAAATATTCATATAACTACCATCTCAATAATAATACATGCACCTATCAGGATAATTATATAGGGTCACCTTGGTACCAAGCACTTTGACAAAATACTAGATCCTTCAACTTTTCAGAAGGTCCAGAGGAGTGTACATGAAATTTATGTGACCATTTCAGGTTAGAGGCTGAATCTGGAAGATGCACATTCTAGAACTGCATGCCTGCTTGGTCCAATCCAGTAATCACTAGTCACACATGGCTACTAGGCACTTGAAAAGTAGCTAGCCCAAAGTGAGATGAGGTATAAGACACACAGGATTTTGAAGATGAAATGTAGGTTCCAAAAAAAGTAATGTAAAGTGCCACACTAATAATTTTTATATTTGTTATAGGTTGAAACAATATTTTGGGTAACTTAAAAAACATTAAGTTCACTGGTTTGTTTTTACTTTTTTAATGTGACTACTAGAAAATTTACAATCACATGCAGCTTGTACTGTATTTCTTGGAAACCACTGTTTTAGAACGACTTCAAGTATGAGTACTCCAAGGTATCTGTATAATTTACACAAAATTTTGGATCTCTGGAGTGTGCAACTGAAACGGTTTTATTTCTCTTCTCTTTTTCCTGTCACATCTCTGATCCCACCCCCGCTTCCCTGTCCTGGTCTCCTTCTGAAAACCTCAAGTAGAATTATGTTTGTCTAGTTTTTCAGCTTTTCTCCACCTCCACTTCCCAAGTAAAGGGAAATCACTAACAGCACTCCACTGCAACCCAGCCCTCCTCACTCCAGCGCTTAGATCAGAAAGAAGCAAATCTGAGGTTTTCGTTTTTACATTTTCAAATAGGTTAAGGTACCAAGACCACAATTTGCAGGACTAAACTAAAGTTCTCTGCCCCTCCCCCTTGCCTGAGCCTCTAATCTACCAATCATCTCTCTCAAGGTAGGCAGAGTACCTGTTTTAGCAAGGACACTTGTGAATCTCCCAGGAACCTGATGCAGGAGGAAGAGCGTCTAAGATCAGCTGAAGGGCCTAAAGTTCCTCTGCATCTCTCACCACCGTTTTTGTGACGTGTGATGGGATTCTCAGCTAATCCGAGTACCCTTACAGTCACATTTCTGTGAGAGCTCACCGCGTTCTAATTCCTAATCTGCCTCCTTGTAATTTGACCCTCCCCCTTCAATTGGAGCAGAGGTGGCTTCCCGTTTGAGAGCAAGGGCTTTTTCCTTTTCCTCTACCTGGCCAGCTTCTGGGGCGAGCAGGGGGATAGAGGTTGGGGGCGGGGGGAGGATGTGTAAGAAACCAGCTCCTCCCTCACCAAGTCCTCGCTTCGAGGGTCCTCTGATAGTTCTTTGTCCTCTGGGTCCCCCTCACCCCAATAAGAGGAGGTTTGAGTAGTTGTCCTTCCACCACCGACTCTCATCCCCAGTTAGAACCAGAAGACTCCGCGTGGATCTCAAGCCAACCACGCTGAGACCACCCACCCTGCCACCACTTCCCTGCGCTCCGGCCGGGAAGGAAGCACCTGTCCCGCTGCTCTCACCTGGGTCGTCCTCGTCGCGGGGCACCTTCTTGAAGCAGTCGTTGAGCGACAGGTTGTGGCGAATGGAGTTCTGCCAGCCTGCCTTGCTGCGCTGGTAAAAGGGGAAGCTGTCGGCCACGAACTGATAGATGTGACTGAGTGTGAGCTTGCGCTCAGGCGCGCTCTGAATAGCCATGGCGATGAGTGCCGAGTAGGAGTAGGGCGGCCGCACCATCTTCATTAGGTCCTCGCGGCTTGCCATGGACAACCAGCCCAGGTCGCAGGGCGCGGAAGGTGCGGCGGGCGCCGCAGGACCGGTGGGCGCGGGCTGAGCGAGGGACCGCTGAGCACAGGCGAAGGTGCCAGCAGCGCTCGGCGGCTGCAGGAACGGCCCAGCTGAGCCCCGTGGGGGCGGAGGCGGCGGCGGCGGGGCGCCCAGGTACGCGGCGGCGGCTGCGGCGGCCGCGGCGGCCGGCGGAGCGCCCACGCTTGGCCCGTTGAGCCACAGGTAGGGGTTGGCGGCGGCGGCGGAGGGTGCTGCGTAGTCGGCCAGCCCGTAGGGTGCCCTAGCAGCCGGAGGGGCGCCAGGGGTTGCGGCGGCGGGCTGGGGCAGGCCGGACTGCGAGTACACGCCGAAGTTGTCGCCGCAGTATAGAGCCATTTCGGTGGACGTCGGCGGGTGCGGCGCGGCGGCTGCGAGAGGCGAGCGGGGTTGGTCTCGCCGCTCCGGCGAGAGCATCCCTTTGGGAGCCAAACCTGCGGCGCTTCTGCTCTAGCTCGGCGACCGTCGCTCAGGGCGGAGATCGGACTGAAGCACGCTGAGCGCCAGCGAGCCGACTTCTTATACCTGTCTGCGCGCGCCACTGCCCCCCCCACCCCCAGGGCAGGGCGGGGGCAGTGGCCCCGGGCGGGCTCTGCACGCCGCCGCCACGCCCCACCTGCCCGCGCCGCCAGGAGGAGCGCGCCCCGCCCCTGCAGCCCCTCTTCTCTGGGCCCGAGTCCGGGAGTCCCGGGGAGACCGGCGCCTCCAGGTTTAAGGCGAAGAGCACCCTTTCCTAGCTAACGCACCCTTAGCACAATAATGGAATAAAACAACGAATATTAAAACAAAGAGATGATAACTAGAAAAGTACAAATATTTTTCAGAGGTCCGTGCGTTTACCTTCGGAGGGCCGCTCGGGCCACCTGCCTACCACCCCTCATTGTTTTCCTCCAGCCTCTTCACCTTTTGTGATCAAGGTTCAGATTCACGTTTGATCTTAACTGATCCGCTTCCAGTCGAGCATAATAAATAGGATTTACAGCAATTTGGGATACACGGTAGTTTATATTAACAGGCATCCTTAGCGTGTCCCCTTCTAGGGAATTCTGTGATCGGAGGGACTGAAATCGGTTTTTAATTTATCTATCCATGTCTCTAAACATATAACGATTTGTTCGTTCACATTCGGGAAGTAGTCGTTCGTTTTTATGACCAATGTGTGCATTCTTTCGGTGTGATTTGTTGTCTTCAAAAACAGAAAGGTGAATGTTTTCAAAGACATTGAAATAAGTGGGTTCGAAATTAGCACTTTAAAGCCAAGTTTAATTTAAGCTGCGTGCAAGAAGTTCTCATTAAAAAAATAAAACAAGGTCACAAATTATGGTACTATTGTAAAATAGTTTTTTTACAAACTACTTCTGTAAGTTTTCAAATGCTGTTCCTGCCACGGAAAACAAACAAAATCAGGAAAATCCTGTAGTGACACCACATGCCACACAATCATTATTATTTGGTTCTGAACATTAATAAGAAAATTGTTTTTTACAAATTAAAACTGTCCTTAAATATGTTCTTAATAAACGGCAAGTCTGAGATTCTCCTTTAAGGGAGAGGGGAAAGGAAAACGCTTTTTTCCATTTTTTGTCAATTACACTCTGACAGCTCAGAGTACTAATAATTCGGAACCTACCCACCTCTCAACCCTGCATTTATTTTCATGATAAAGTTAGTTATGTACTGTGGGGGTGGGGGGGACATTGTCATCTTCCATATATAACCTTAAAAAATGAAGTCTAGAGCTACTTAACAAGCAAATTTTGGTACCTAAAACACAAATCACATTTCAAATGTTACTATTTTTCTCATCTTTTCTGGAATGAGAAAGAAATTATTTGTCCACTCTGAAGCACACTTTCTTTCTATCTCCTGGCAAATGCTATAGAATGGAATAGTTTGCCTTAATTGTATTTTGATTTCAGAATCTAAATGTTTCTTAATTTAGGTAAGCACACTGCCCTTTTTTTTTCCCCCATCTTTCCCAAAGAGCCCCAAACGAAGTTTTGTTCTATTATTCTCTTAGGATGTTAATAAGGATGATAACTATAGCCCAAGAAATTAGCAATTTCTAATGAGTTATATTGCCCACGTTTAATATCTTTTTTCCTTAAACAATGGACTAAACTAAATAGAGAAAGTCCAAAAGAAAAGCTAGGAACATAGATAGCAATAAATTAGGAAAAATCTGAAACCATCTCCCTCTATTAATTGATTTCTTTAAGACTGTAATATAATACCTTCCCTAATTTTTTAGTGAATTGCTTATCCATACATTGCAGTTCTGCAAGGTTGTTTTTTAAGCCTAATTCTGAATTCAATAGCTCCAAGTTATTCTGCGAGATTGTAATTACAGACTATGGTGTCTTGCTTTGATTAAAAATTCTGCCTAATAGAGATATGTTGTTCCTTAACTGTACATTATCTTTTGGGGGCTTCAGTTTTATTTAAAAATGACAGGGCCATCTAGCGGCTCTTTGCCTCTGTTACAACATAGGTCTGGATAGGGATCTGTGAGGTGGACACACCCTCTAGGGGTTTGGAAGTTACACTTTTCTATTTTCAATCACATCTTAATTAGATAAGCTTAAAACCATTATTGGTCATAGCCTGGATTTTTTAATGGCAAAATTATAACATTTTTTAATCTCTATTTTTAAAGTTAAACAAATTTTTAAAAACAACTTCCCCATAATAATGTTTTGTCAAAATGTCTTTTCACAAAAAGATATAATCGAGGCAACTGATTAATGTATCTATGCCACTATAAAATAAGGATAGACTGTTACATGTTTTCATCACTGGAAAATAAACATTTTGGGAAATAATACTAGCCAAAAACATTTCATTTATTTTCCTCTAACACTTGGTAACATTCTTGCTGCTTCTCTGAAATAGCTGAGTGATGACAGTGATTTATAATGGAATGTTGTCATTTTTGTAATATTTATTATACTCATCAATTTATAGCATCATGGAAACATTGGCACATTAATGTTTGCTAGTATTTTTACGTATTTCCAGAGGAAGAAAAGGGTAATAGAAATTGGAGATAGCCTCAGTGCTCTTCACTTCTGACAGCTGCCATCTTAGAACAGCGCTGAGCCGCACCATGTTTACCTTGTTTCAGCTATGGAAATGCCACAGATGGAAATAATGAAATCTACTCATGTCTCCTACCTGGCTTTCTACCTTACACGATTATTATTATGACTATCTGACCTCTTCTAGTAAATCAGAGGCTTTTTGAAGACAAATCCTTTTATGTAATTCAGTTTTTGAACACCTTGCCCATCATAGCATAAACAAATACCAATTGCTTAAAAATTAGTATCTGATTAATTAATGAATTACTTATAAATGTCACAGTGGAATATGCATAAGCCTATCCCAGGATGTGTACACACACACACACACACACACACACAAATACAAATGCATCCTAGGAAAATTTTCTATTGCAAAAAAGGATAGACGCATTACTTAGATGTAGAGAAAAAGCCCAACTCTGAAAATAATTTACTAGAGTAATGGAAAAAAACATTTTAGAAAATATGTTTTGTTCTCAAAGAAACATAAGAAAGTTTGGCTTTTATGAAACAAGAAGTCAGAGTAAGATAAAAGATAAACACTCTGATTCAAGTAGGGATGAAAAAGGAACTAAAGAAAGTAAGAAAAGTATATAACATAACTAGAATTGTAGTTGAAGAGCACAGTTTAAAATACTGAGGTGAGACCTGATGGATGTGGCTCAGTTGGTTGGGTGTCATCCACAAAGCAAAAGGTTACTGGTTCAATTCCTGGTCAGGGCAAGTGCTTGCTTGGGTTACGGGTTTGATCTCCTTTGAGGCAACCAGTCAGTGTGCTTCTCTCCTTCTCTTCCTCCCTCCATTCTTCTCTCTCCAAAAATAAATACATAAAATCTTTTTTAAAAAATAAAATAAAATAATGAAGTGAGAATAACTACCACATAGGCAAAATATATAAAATGAATTAGTGCATTTATTGTTTTTGATGAGGAAAGGATGGATTATTTGAGAAAAGATGTTGAAATGACTAGACCTGGACCCATTAGTTCATTCTTTACTTGCTGTAATTTTTCTTCCAACTTTTGATTATTCAGTTGTTTATCATTTAAGAGCTGGTAGTGTTATTAATGAGGGGCCAACTGACAGCCTTTGTCCTCTCCCTTTTATAACTCAGGGCTGTGACTTATACATTGAAACAGAACTCAGAGGGACCATTCATTTGTTCCTTTAACAAGTATTGAGCGTAAGTGATGATGGGAAAGCAAAGCAGCTCTTTTCTCCCTAGACAGCAAGCTCCCACCAACTTGGTATTTGTCTCCTGTTTCAACACACTTCCCTTGGAAGTCCTTTATGTTGATGTCAAATTGTCCCTGCCAGTCACCCCATTCAGCCCCCTGGAAGTCAGGGAAGACCAGAGTGAGCTGCAAATATGGAATGGGGCAAAAATGAAAGTCAGGGAGGCTCAGAAGCAGGGGTATGGCCCAGGGATAACCCAGTCACATGCCAGCTGTCCCCCAAGGCTCATGTCCCTCTTTCCACTGCAACATTAGGCACAGGAAGTATAGAAAAAAGGATAAATCCCGAGGACTGTAGAAGCCTAAGGCATCTGAGGATACCACAGAAGTTCCACATACTTAATCCAGAAAAAGAAAAAAAAAAAGTCAGCCAAATTAGTAGGCTCCAAACAATTCTAGGAGAGCCATCAATCTGTGACCTGCTGCCTCCCCCTCCTCTCCCCTCCCCTCCCCTCCCCTCCCCTCCCCCTCTCCTCCCTCCCCTCCTCCATTGCTTGAACCTCTGCTAATTGCCTCACTCTCTCCTGCCTGATTCTCTGGAAGCTTCCTGCCCTCTGGCTGTAGCTAATTAGCTGCATTCCAGAGCTTCCTCAGCTAACTCTCAGGCTCTTCCTTCTGCTCCAGATCAGGCTGTCTGCAGCTCTTCTGAAGGACTTGCCTTGCAAAGCCACCCTACTCTGACTGCATTCTGACTGCCCCAGGCTCCTCCCATGATAACCTGAGGCCATCTTAAGCTAAAAAGGCTGCCTTTGTGCCACTTCTCCCTCCTCTGGGCAAGGAGGCCCTCCAGCCCTACTATCACGCTGGGTACCCCTGAGTGATGCCCACTCCTGCCAGGATGGCTCATCCAACAATCTGGCCCTTTATTTCCAATAACCAACTCCTCTTCACTGTACTGGGTCTTCTACCAGATGGGGACCTCACTTTTTTTAGAGCTTACAACTAAGGAACAGGTATTAAATACCAGGCATTGTATTAAGCACCTTACATACATTATCTCATTTAATTCTCACAGGAATCCTATCAGATAAGAACTGTTTGTCCACATTTTGCAGATGAAGCAACAGACAGGTTAAGTAATTTAACTTTAACTGTGGTA